CTATGTTGTTCACAAATGGAAGGGAATTCGACGCCTGCCAATTTTTTGTTCTTCCCATCGAGGCCGAATTCCCGCGGCCCAAGATTAGAGCAGGATGCGCGAGGCAGGTGTCAGTGTTCTGTCTGTCAACGAGTCATTGTTCTCACTCGGATCCATGCTGCCTGTCAGTGACTCCTTGTTCTCGCACCTCTACATCGACTGCAGCACATTCGAAGGATCCAAACTCCTCATCTCTAGCGACCTATACTGGACACGATGCTCCCCGCACTTATTCAATACATTTCAGGTGCGAAATGAACTCGGTAAGAAGACTAGTATTTATTTTCCTAGGCGGCGTAGGAGGCCGTGGTGGAGCAGGCGGTGGACAGGGGGGAGGTGGGGGTACTGGAGAAGGTCCCAGGATGTATTATGATGTCCAGGCGCAACAGTTCACCGTCAATAATATGTACGCCGGGTCCTCCCTTCCCTCTCCGAAGTACCGTCTTGCTAAATACCGTGGCTGTACAATAGGAGTGGCACGCACATTCACGGTTTAGGGCCAGAGCCACAACAACAATTGGAGGGTGAGTGTTGAGATGGAAACAGCCATATTAATCCTTGAACCTCCTTTAGGCAACGCCCAGAGACTGGACAGGATTTATGAGGGGAGGTCTGTTAGATTGTTCTCTTGTTGCCGTGGTTCCGACGGCCTCACTTGTATCCAGCGTCAAGGAGAAGCTTGAAAAATGGCTGAAGCCGCCCGACATGAAGAGAAAGCAAGACGAGAAACAGACACTTCGGATGGCTGGCACAGGGGAGTGGCTCCTGGACGGCGAGACCTTCATCCAATGGAAAGATAACCCGGGATCACTCTGGATTCGCGGTCCCTGTAAGCCTCTCTCCGTTTGTCATTCATCGAGCTGACTATTGTGCAGCGGGTGCCGGGAAGAGCGTGCTCAGGTGAGATCCAAGATAAATTGTGCCTGTAGTTTATGCCTAAAATGCGCCGATAGCTCGTCAATTATCACAAAACTCATTGCGGATCAGAAGCTTATAGACCCAGCAAAAGCTCTCGCGGTCGCATTTTTCTATTTCGATTTCAAAGACCCAGAGAGCCAAACTGTGGATAATACACTTCGGCGCATTGTTTTGCAGTTATCTGCCTACTCTCCGCAGCCATACGAGACTCTCGCCAAGGAGTACATGTTGTCAAAGGGCCAGACTTGGCCCACCTATGACGAGCTTCTGAAGGTCTTCAAGGACCTCCTCATGGAAATCGGTCGCACCTACATTATTCTTGACGCCCTAGACGAGTGCAAATCCACTGAACATCAGAAGCTTGTGGGTTTTTTAGCCACGCTTCAGCAATGGCCAACAACTCCGTTGCATCTCCTCATCACTAGTCAACCTCGCGACATATTTTTGAAATCCTTCCGGGACATCTCCTGTGTCGTGCTGGACTCCAATATCATGCAGATGGATATTGAGCGCTTCGTTGCCAGTGAACTTTCGAATATGAACAAATGGCCTCACCGCGGAGAAGACATTCGAAATCGTATCATTCGCAAGAGCAATGGAATGCAAGTTTCTTTCCTTCGTTCATGGCCCCTGAATAATTTCTCGCTGTCATATCCAGGTTTCGGTTGGCGTCGTGTCTAATCGTCGAAGTCTCACGTTGTCCATACGAAGATGAATTGGACAAGACACTGGACAATCTTCCCGACGATCTCTTCGGCGTCTACGACCGATTCATGATGGCAATCCCGCCCACAGCCCTTGTTTATGTGGAAGCTGTTCTGCGGCTGCTCTTGTTCTCATTTTACCGACGTATCCATCTGCAGAAACTGGCCGATGCGGTTGCATTTGATTTTTCCGACCCAGAGCAATTCAAGTATCGACTAAGTCGGTGTAACGACAACATGATTGCAATTCCCAAGTGGTTGGAGGGTCTGATCACTCTTAATGACGGGTTCGTCGAGCTTGGTCATGCCTCTGTCCGAGATTATATCTTGTCCGGCCAATTCGCTGGGAAATTTAAATGCGACCTCCGCAAAGAGATCTCCCATACTTCTATCGCTCGCACTTGCATCAGCTATCTCCTCCACCTTTGCAGCAATCCACGCGAAGCAGGCCCTTCCTGGACATACGCCGCACGATATTGGAATATCCATCTGAAAAAATCTCATGATCAGAGCCTTCTAGTTGAGGGCGCAATGTGTCTTCTGGAACGGGATAAATTCAGAGCTTGGCGCAGCCTACACCTATACTCAGGCTCAGGCTCAGGCTCAGGCTCAGGCTCAGGCTCAGGCTCAGACCCAGGCTCAGGCTCAGGCTCAGACTTAGACCCAGACTCAGGTTGGGAGTCAGATCCACTACACTGGGTATGGGACCCCCTCATCCACTGTTGCTGCATAGGATATCTTGAAGGGGTGCGCGGTCTCATTGCAAAAGGTGCCTCCCTGGATCCACGATGCTTAAAGATGGCGATATATGAGGGCCACACAGATATTGTGGTCAACCTCCTCGAGAATGGCGCCAACGCCAACATGCAGGATAATTGCTATGGAAGCATGTTGCAGCGCATGTCCTTTCGGGGCCGCACGAATATAGTGCGTCTCCTGCTCGAGAACGGCGCCGAGGTGAACCTCCAGGGAGGAAGGTATGGAAGTGCATTGCAGGCCGCGTGTACAAACGGCAGCACCGATACCGTGCGTCTTCTACTCGAGCATGGCGCCGACGTGAATGTACCAGGACAATGTGGGAGCGCACTCCACTGTGCGTTGGAGTATGGTGACGCCACAATAGTGGCTCTGCTGAGGGAGAAAGGTGCTGTGGACATGGCCCCAGACCCGGAAGTCCAGTGGGACAGCGATAGCTGCTTCTCTGACTCCGACCTCTATTCGGAAGCAGACACTGGCTCAGACTCGGAGTACATCAGGGAAGAAATCGTCGCCGACAGACCAAGAAGAATGAAGCCCATAACACTTGTTTTTCCGTCGGAAAATCCAGAATTAATTGACCGGAAGGAATTGAGGAGTCAGTTTATCAGGCAGTGGGCTGCTGCAGCGAGGGTGGAGTTGGCAGGAGAGGAAGAGGAAGAGCGTTGATTAGAACACTGCTTTAAAGCAATCATAAAGGTCGTTCACAGTTCCATTTTTCCTCCCATTTTTCCTCCCATTTTTTGTTCCATTTTTTGTTCCGTTTTCCAAATAAATATATCTGCATCAAACAGGGTGGGAGACAGGCTTTTGTTATGTTATGCATGCACGCATGAGGCCCCCTGAGATGTACTGTAGGGTAAACTACACAGGGATGTAAACCTAATTAAAACGAAAAAAGGAGTGCAAAAAAGGAGAGAAAAATGGAACTTTTGTCGGGGGGTTTCACAGTTCACTTTTTCTGGCCATTTTTCTCTTCCCTCTTTTCTGCCATTTCATGGATTCTGCACCTAGACACTTCGTTTCTTCCATTTTCAACCCTTTTTACATCACTGAATTGAAAAGGGAAAAAATCCCGAGCAAAAACCAAGTAAAACCAAAGATCCAGCAAAAAATGGGGGGAAAAATGGGAGAAAAAAGGGAACTGTGAATGACCCTATATGCTTTAGCAGGATTGTACAGTGACTTTATACACCACAAAAATTGTATCCAGAATATTTTACGACTCACTGCGTTCAACCCGGTCCTAAAATAGGCACAGTCGAGGTGCGCTGAGGCGTCGGCTAGACTCGGCTTTACAGGTAGAGACATCTAAATATACCTAGCCAACCGGTTACCTAGACACAGCAAGGCCGAGGCCCGCAACGACCGGCTAGACTTTGAGAGTTTAGGTGGCTCGACGGGCCTCAACACGTCTCTCCTAGCTTCCTTCCGTACCCTGGCTTTGGTTGAGACGTGCCCAGAGGCTCTCGGCAGGTATGTCTAAACGACTAGACGTGGCTAACAGCTATACCCTGACGAGCAGTCTCCGCATGGGCAGAGTCTATCGACCTTGAACGCAGTGACTACCTTTGAACTGTCCGTGTTATCAATTAAGGCTCCAATCATTGCGTTCAGCCCGGACCTAGACATCAATTGTCTAGCCGGACGGAGGCCGGGCTAAGCGACTAGACACGCTGATGGGACGTGTCTAGCCCATGGTCTAGTCACTTAGCCAGGCCTCCGTCCGGCTAGACAATCAATGTCTAGGTCCGGGCTGAACGCAGTGAATAGTTTTCCGTGTATAAACGTTTTCAAACGGTTTCGACCGTTTACATTTCCGTTTTACTTGCCCCTGGACGTAAACAGTTTTCAAACTGTTTGTAAATGGTTCAAACAGCTGTTGCGCTCACCTGAAAATTCTTCGCTTCTGTTGTGAGTATCCACTTCCAAATCGGATCTGGATATCATTTACAAGATTAATTGGAGCAGATTTGGGTGTGCATTGTGAAACATTGTTCGGATGGGTTAGGAGTAACAATTCCTGATTGGTGGTTTTCATGTGAGTAACATGAACAGCATGAGCCTTCTTGAACTTGTCTCACCACCTGCCATTGAGGTCCTTTTCTTGTTCAATTGCATGCCAGTGATGTATTGGAGAGTTTAGCGGTCATTTTCAGCCTTTCTGAGGCTGCGGGGATGTCAAAAAAAAAACTACTGAGCAGAACCCGACCCCTTCAGCATGTATTCCGGTAATTTCCGAAGCCATCAATTTAATTCTTAGTCCAGCATCAGCGCGTAACTAGGTATGGGTTATAACAGAGTTCACTGTACCACTACACCACCAGGCCATTCCTACATCCTCCCAGGAGTTATATAGATTGAGAGTTCATGTATGTATGACTCTACCAGATAAAAAGAACTTGCTGTCGTGAATGGCCTAGCCTCGAATCAAACAAGGAACTCCGCTGAATGCATTTATCTTAGACTTCTTTCTAGCAGGCGTGTTACCATTACACCACCAAATCATTCATCCACCCTCCCAGAAGGTGAATAAATGCTAGATTTTGCGATACTCACCATAAAAAAATCCAAGACTTGTTATGGCCTAGCCTTGAGTCGAACAAGGGATTCTCGTTTGAGAGATTCATCCTCAATAGAGAGAATGGGTGTGTTACCACTACACTACCAGACCATTCTTTCAGCCTCCCACAAGGTGCATAGGTATGAAATTCTGAGTCCCTCACCATAAAAAGGAAATTCGAAAGTGACTATGACCTGGCCTCGAATCAAACAAGGAACTCCCGCCGAAAACATGACATCCCTCAAATATCTCGCAGATGTGTCACCCCTACACCACCAGCCCATTCTTATACCCTTCACGGAGTTGAATATATTGAGAGTTCAACTATGGGAGAAAGAGAAAGAGAGGCTAAGAAAAAAGGAACTCGAGGTACAGCCTGGCCTTGAATTGAACTCCTGTTCAAGTATCAGAGCATCCCTTGAATGTGGAACAGGTGTGTTACCCCTACACCACCAGGCCACACTTAAAATTTCCCAGGAACTGGATACATGTAGAGGCTGATCATGGCGCGAGAAGTAAAACAACCAACATAGAAGTGAAGGCCTGGCCTCGAGTCGAACAAGGAATTCCTACACAACAATTGTAACGGGAACCTACAGCAAGTAGATGTGGAACCATTGCACCACCGGGTTGCTCCTACAATGGAACGCGGAAGTAATAGATGCGGTTTCACGGGTCCGGGTGCACGGCATCCGGGAAACATGGATAATGGATTCTGCTTGCCTAAATTCAATCCCATTTCATCGAGAACAGAGCCAGAGTGGGTGCGTGGCGCAGCTTGATAATTATGGGGAGGGCAGCTGCCCTTGAGTTTAATGCAGTGACATTCCCGACTCAAACAAACTCCGCCTCGGCCGGATCACGCCCCGGCGCCCGGCCGCCTGCAGCATCGATTCAATCTCCGCCGGCAACCGCCGCCGGTATGAGGCTGCTTCCAACCGTCATGTCATTAGCTTGTTCGCTTTGAAAAGGTCCAGCGGCTGGTTATGTACTAGGGGTAGCTCGGCTCGGATTTCGAATGCCGTGCCTTCCTTTGTCTTCGGTGTACTATGGTCTCTCCGCTTCTTAACTTAGATTCGCTCGCCTGGCGGTCTTTCAGTTCGATACGTTTTAACCTCTGACCTTTCTGGCTCGGACTGCGTCTCTGACCCCATCCTTGAACTCTCATGTAGCTTGCCTGGACGCCCGGCTCTGATTACTCGCAAGGAAAGGGCCTGCCCACCTCTCCCTGTTTCGCCTTGGATAATCAGAGACATCGAGCGCCCAACGAGGCTCATGCCTTCCGCCTGCCCACCAACAACACCGTCACCTTCCCGCACGCGGCGCCGTCCTTCTCCTTCTCCGCCATATTCCGCCTCGCGCTCGGCTTCGGCGCGCGCGCGCCCCGCAGCGAGCACCCAACGGACGCCGGCCCGCACATGCACCCCATCTCCATCTCACCACGCCCCACCCCTTCACTGGCACGTCGAGGAGGGAAAGACGCGCGGTTGCGCATCATGCACGTCCCCGAGCACGGGCGCCTGCGCCACAACCACCACCTTCGCCCCCACGCCCACGCACGCTCGTTCCTCATGCGCGTGCACATAGCGCTGATGGGGCTCGGCACGCGGTCGCCTTTGTGCTCGGGTGCGGCATCGTGCTGCTGCGCATGCTCTGGGTATGCGCGGCGGTGCACATGTCTAGGCGGAGGAGGCCAAGTAGGGCGTCGCTTATCACTCGTCTTTTGCTGCTCGTCATCTCGCCCAATCCCGGACGTTGTATCCCGTCCGTACTCCTCACCTACCTACAATCTCCACCCCACCCAGCTACCTACGTGTCCTGATAACCCGATATTCATACCATCTCCGTCTCCGTTTTCCCGTAGCCGTATCTGTGTTGCATATAGTCGCTCACACGGCATGGACTCGCCGGGGCGCTAGGCGTCGATGTCGTTGTCGCCCCCGCTAGTAGCTGGGGATCCAGAGTCGTGCGTTTCGCGGCGTGCATTGCCGGAGGCGCTTCCGTTCTGAGGCGAATGCCTATGTTCGGCAGCATGAATTTTTGTTTGGGTAGAAAAAATCTTGATTGTGGAAATGGCTCGATCCGCCTGGATTCCTAGATAAATATATGAATGACAATTTGGCTCGGGGCGCGCACTGCCATAGTATGCTGTAGAGTAATAGAGTTAATTGTAAGGGACAGAAGATATCCCGCTCTTTCAATGTTACGGTTCGGACATGAAACAACTTGAACGATACTTACTAGGCTTGAGAGCAATGGATGGAGGAGAGGTGGCCCAAAGCAGCAGTGATGTTGGGATTGGCCTGCGGACGGGCGACGCTGCGTTGCGCCGTGTGCGACATGCATAGCGGGGTGACTGGAGCCGGTGGACTGGCCATGGGTGCCCGTCGGATTGGAATATCATGGGAGCCTGCCAAAAAGCTCGGGGGGTCCCCAGTTCGCTGCCAGCGCGAGTCAACTTCAGCGGGAGCCAGCGTTCTTGGCCTGTTTGCTGGGGTTCTCCGGTGGCGGCCGGAGGGCGAGCGCCAGTCGATCTGAATCAAGGCGAGTGGTGGTGGAGGCGAAAAGCCAAGAGAGCTGCCGGATGGTCACGTGTCTTCAAGTTCAAGTTGAACCTTGCGAATGTCAAGCTGAAATCCAACGCGTCCTTGATACTACGGATAGAATAAGAAGGGAGGGATACAACGGCCGAGGGGGAATTTAGAGGTGTATGAGGGTGAGGAAGAAAAAGAAATGTGCGGAAGATGAAGTGCCCAGACCTTGAGTGACGTTGAGTTGAATAAGGGATTCCCATTGAACACTGGTTTATCAACCTAGAAGAATGTGTCGGAAAAATCTTGATTTGCTTCGAACGTTCTGGGACGCCTCCCAGGACATCGCAAGGTCATATGGTTTTAACGGGCTTGCAGCACAGAGGTAGGGAATGCCTAAGATCTTCCGAGACACGGCGTGACTCCCGAGCTCTCCCAAGCCGCCTGGGTGACAGCCGACATTCCAGCAGCACTCAAGGCTCCACAAGCTCCAAGTACCGCTCTCAACACCCATATAATACAACCTTCCTCGGCTTGTTCATATTCGCATCGGGCCACCAAAAAATCGTTGAAATCAATATATTGATGCATGCTATTAGCAAAAACTATGAACTAAGACGTAGAGTGGTGCAGCGGTGGTCCATGGGGTGTAAGGAATTACTTCTAGAGTTATAAATGGACTTAGCGGCAGTAGGCAAGGAGAGAAACACCTCGTACTCACATTGTAAGAATGAACAATAAATGGAATTCAAGTCTCGAGCGAAGTGGCATTAGATAGTGGCAGTCAAAGATAAGGCTCACATACCTCACGAGGTCCCGGGGTCGACCCTAGAAGAACGCAGTCAGCAGTGTGATACCCGCGTCGGCATGCGTGGTGAGAATCAACCTTGAATGACATCAGTAGTTGCCCGCGGCAACCGAGAGAAGACATACCTATCGACTGAGGGAGACAAGGGGATGGTGGTAGAAGGAGAGGAAGAGAGGTGGAGTAACGGCGTCACAAAGTGGGGGTTGATATACGCTGAGATAGCGGGTGGCATCACTCGCTCCACCTTTCTCCACCTCGTTGACGAGATGGCCAAGCCATCGTTGGAGCACGTCGTTCGCGGTGCTTTACTCTGCCCAATTTTTGGCGGGAAGGCAGGAATGCATTACATTATTGATTGCATTAACGAGGGCATATATCTACGTGTAAATAATATTGATGAATTCTTTTTGCCCCACTGCCCTAAGCGAGTCCCTCCGAACTGGTCTAAAGCGCCCTCAAGGTTACCGGGATTTGTGTGCACCTTGCCACGGTCTGGGACGCCTTGTGAGTCGCTCAATCACGCCTCGAAACGGTCTGGGACGCCTTGTGAGTCGCTCAATCACGCCTCGAAACGGTCTGGGACTATTTCCGAGTCGCTCTGCTGTGTCTTTGAAGCTGTCTCAAGCCGTCTCAAGGTCCGAAGTAGACTCAGTCCGTTGCAAGTAATTTACCATTTTTCCGACATCCTATCCACTGGTTGGAAGGTTAGCCAGCCGCGAGAGGATCCTCGATGCTGACCTGGATGTATGCGAGTCGCTTCAGGTCATCATTATAGATCAGCTTGATATCTCCGCCATTCGGCGTCTACTTCTCAGCATCGAGGTGGATGCCAAAAGGGTTTGAAGGAGTCAGAAGGACGAGAAAGCGAGTCGTAGTGACCTTCGTCACTTCGTAACTTCGCTTAAAGGTGCGAAGGTTCGTGACTTTGATGGAAAGTTGGGAAAGTTCATCACATTGGCGAGTTTCCAGGGAAGTTCGTGACACACAAATCAAATGCATCAACCCGGCCATCATTTTTCTTCAACTCAAGTTTCTCCGTATTTTTTTTCATATAGATACCTTGCTAACCCTAACTGCTAACCTCTAACCCGAGCCATTAACCCTAACCACTAACCGCTAACCCTAACCCAAACCCAAACCGCTAACCTCTAACCACTAACCCGCTAACCCGCTAACCCGAACCTAACCGGCCACTCTCGGCAAGTTGATGGCATGCATCACTCCGTGATGTGCCGAGGAGCGCCGCTTGACAAGTAACTCACGAACTTTCACAGAAGCTCGTCAAAATCACGAACTTTCCCGGATTTCCATCAAAGTTACTAAGTTTCCCGAAACTAAGCGAAGTTACGAAGTGACGAAAATGGCGTGGACTCCGAGAAAGCAGGGAAGCAAGAGGAGCCGAGTGCGTGGTGAGGGGAAGTACAGATAAGTAGCGTGGAGTTAGAGGACCGAGGACAAGGCGGCTGTGTTTGCAGTCGTAGAGCACTTGTGGTTCGCGTGCCCAAGCGTAAACAAACTAGAGCGCGACGCGACGCGACGGACCACGTGACCGTCACATGGGGCAGGGAATTCGGGTGTTTATAAAATGCTACGTGTCTAGAATTGACAAGAGGAAGTTTATTGACTAGTATGAGCCCACTGAATGACTAGAAGTACAATACGGTCGTTCACAGTTCCATTTTTCCTCCCATTTTTTGTTCCATTTTTTGTTCCTTTTGCCAAATAAATATATCCGCATCAAAAAGGGGGGGGATAGGCTCTTCTTATGCCACACATGCATGTATGAGGCACCCTGAGATGTCTCATGGGGATCTGAACTACACAGGGATGTAAATCTCAGTAAGACGAAAAAAGTAGTGCAAAAAGGGAGCTTTCGTCGGGAGGTTTCACAGTTCACTTTTTCCGGCCATTTTCTTCCCTTATCTCTTCCCTCTTTTCTGCTGTTTGATGAAGTCTGCACCTAGACACTTCGTTTCTTTCATTTCAACCCTTTTACGTCACTGAATTGAAAAGGGAAAAAAATCCCGAGCAAAACCAAGTAAAACCAATCATCCAGTAAAAAATGGTGGAAAAAATGGGAGAAAAAAGTGAACTGTGAACGACCCTAATGAATTGAGCTA